AAGGATTTCATCACATTGAAGCCCTAAAGAACAGCAAATCATTTGACATCTTATATTATCCAAACAAAAATTCTAGAAAATGGGGGATTGTTTTCTTTCTTGATCATTCAGAAGTCTTAGGCATGGCTTAGAAACACTAGACAGTTCTGAATATGGAAGTTAGATCTCCTTCCTTAGGAATTTTAGCAACCAGGGAGGATGAATGGCCTAAAGAATGGTCATTTGGGAAAGTTCTAGAAGTCTATTACAGCATAGTATACGTAGACAAATTTGGTCAAGGAATGCCATCCATTATTCTGCAGGCCTTTCTTTACCAAAAATTGTTTCCTCTTCCCTAAGTTTCTTCCTGTCTTCTTTTAGACAAGGAATAGAAGCTGCTAAATATAATTGGGTTTGGGGTTTTCAGTCTTTTTTCCTGTGATGTCTCTGTACATGTAAAGGTATATATCTTTTTTCCTATAAATATGTCTGTTGTCAATTTATTTTATAGACTCAGTTATTGAATTCTTGGACAATTGAAAGTTTTCCCTCATTCACCCAGTATTTCAGTTATTTATATTTTAGCATTTACACAAATCTATTTTTATTTGTAAAAAAATTATATGTAACTAAAATTAATTTGATTTTTAAAATCAAACTTCATTTAGTGATAATAAAATTGTAGTGAAATACTGCCATTTGATAGTTTAAGTATCATCCATGTAAAAATCATGTTCAGCATGTAAAATTTAATTACAAAATTCATAGTTCATAAAAATACATTTATGCTGCTGACAGCTTGTATTTCTCTTATAAATAAATGCCTGCAGTTTTCAATCAGTGAGTATCTTGAGTAAACTCACCAGACACAGTGCAGCATCAATACTAGCCTTAGGGTTAAAAGGAAAAACTTGCTACTATGAAATTATTTCAGAATATGGACCCATTGTTACCAGCTGTACAGATTTTCAAAGAAAATGAAAATATTGATCTTTATGTGAAATTGTAACTAATTTGTATGTTCTAAACATTTTCACACTTCTAAAATGCATATGTTGAAACCTAGCTCCTGATGTAAAGGTATTAGGAGGCAGAGCTTTATGCAAAGCATTAGTTCAGGATGGTAGAGCCTTTATGAGTGGGCTTAGTGCCTTTATAAAAGAGACTCCGGGACTAGGCCTACAGTTCAGACATAGAGCATAAGTCTACACAGATTTGTTTCTGTGTTTGATCCCCAGTTCTGAAAGAAAAGAAAAAAAGAGTCAAGAGAGATAGGCCATAACTCATCCTTCTTCATATTTTTACCTCAAAAGGATAGAGTAAGTAAACAGCCATTTTAGGAAGAAGACTTCACCGGACACTAAAAGTCTGCCCTTGCCTTGATTTTGGATTTCTCAGTCTCCGCACTTGAAAAATAAATGTTTGATATGGCATTTTCATTATAATGACCCATATATATTAGGGCACTAATCCAGCAGTATTTTAAATATTGTATACATGGACAAACAAAAATTTAGACGTTATCACAGTGTTCTAGTCTTTTACCTCAGCCTCTGAGAATTTTCAACCCTGACTTAACATGTGTAGGAGTTAAAATTACTCATTACCTTGCTCATGTAACTGCAACCTCTCTGTACACTATTTTTACAATAAAAACCATTAAAAAAAGAATTATTTCTGTCACTGTGGTTGCCTGACATAAGCATTGCCATTGTAAGGGTATCTTACAAGAAACTCCTCACAAGTTCTTGCTTTGCCCAGGTGTCCTGGTTTTGGCTGGTTACTTTTTACATTTAACCTATTTCAAACTATCCATGAGATTGTGAACCTAAGTTCTGACTAATTGGAATGAGAGATAATAACATGTTATGGATAAAACCTTGGCCAACAGGCTGCCCAGACTGCCTGTGGAGTCTGCTTACTTACCTTCCTGTCCATCATATGCCATTCTACAGAAGTCAGTTTTTCCTTGCCAAGTTATTTTCCAGTTGGTGTCCTTGTTCTTGTCTGACACCCCAATATCCCAAAACATTTCCAACATATTTACAATCTCACAATCTGTTTTTCTAGACCTATTGTAAAGCATGACAGATGAGGCTGTGACGTAAAGTGATATAGATTTAAAGATGGAAAACACTGCTAACTATGTGAATATATTACAAAAGTAATCTACTCTAAGTAGTATTGGAGAAAAGTCTTCATGATTCTATCATATTTAGACAAAACAACAGTGTTACTTTTAGACAATCTGTTCAGGAATGCTTGTTTAATGAAAAAATTTGGAATATAAAATAGAACATGTCTCTATTAGAATAAGCAGGCCTGCTGCCTTTACAAAATATCCAGGTTTTTGAGTCCAAGGCTTTTCCCACATAATGCAATATACTGCATCATTTGTGACACTGTAAAAACTGTCATTCAGGAAGTAGTGACATTGCCAATATTCAGTTATTGTTATCATATCTTTCACTACTATAAATAAAATAGCAACAGACTGTAACAGACTAACATATTAATCTTCACAGTTCTTTATAAATATTATTTTTTCTTCTATATGACAGCCTTAGTAGTTACTCTAAAATGAGCAGGAGGACCTTCCATATTGTTTCCTATATTTCTCTGTGCATCCTATGAGATTAGAAAGATTGAGTGGATGGATGTAGTGGGAGGGATGGGGGAGAATGATGTAAGAGGTGATATTGATCAAGGTGCATTGTACTTACAAACTGACATGTTGAATTGTTTTATATATATATATATATATATATATACTGTTTTTATATATATACTGTTAGTTTTATATATATATATATATATAAAACTAAATATAAAACTAAAACATATATATATATATGTGTATACACACACACACACACACACACACACACAGTCAGTTGTGGGGGCTGAACTCTGGGCTGGGGCGCTGTCCCTCAGCTCTTCACCTCAAGGCTAGCGCTCTATCACTTGAGCCACAGCACCACTTCTGGCATGTTTCTGCTTATGTGGTACTGAGGAATCAAACCCAGGACCTCATGCATGCGAGGCAAGTACTCTACCACTGAGCCACCTTTCCAGCCCTGTAATATATTTTTTAAAAAGAATAAGATTGGGGCTAGGAAGGTGGCTCAGTGGTAGAGTGCTTTCCTTGCATGTATAAGGCCCTGGGTTTGATTCCTCAGCACCACATAAACAAAAAGAAAAAAGCCGGAAGTGGCTCTGTGGCTCAAGTGGTAGAGCACTAGGCTTGAGCTGAAGAGCTGAGGGACAGCGCCCAGGTCCAGAGTTCAGGCCCCATGACCAGATCCCCCCCCAAAAAAAAAGAATAAGATCATATAAAAAAATATAATCATCCACCCCAAAGACTCTCTTGTCCTTTAGAAAGTACATTCCATTTTCCAGCAAAACAATCATGACTTTACTATGACTTCAAACATCTAAATCTCTACCTCATTGTTTTATCAACTTGAAGCCTTTGTTTTCACCTTCAGACATTAATTGGTGCTTAACAATTTAAAAAAAAAAGACAAGAGTCTCAGACTACAGTGCCTGGATTTGAAATTGTTTACTGATTATGTTAACATGTTGACTAACAAACCTAATTCCCTAATGCATAAAAAGGAGGTAATAGTATCCATTAACTCCCCATACTATCTGAGAATAAATGAGTTTCCACATGTAATATGCTTAGATGACCATATGATGACCAGTGACAATGCAATAAATGTCACCAATTGTTATTTGTTGAAAATTTCTTGAATAAATTCAGCTAAAGGTTAATATTCAACACAGGTTGTTGTGATTTACAATCTAACTCTGTCATTGAGAAGGAGAATGATAATTTGAATCCTCAACAGTTAGAAATAACATTATTTTGACAAGATTTTCCTTCTCAGAACAGAAACCTCATTGCCCTCAACTTCTCACAAATTTTAAATATGCAAGTATGCTAGAAAGCCTAAAATAAAATGCCAAATAACTCCTTCATCACTAACCTAATATCACAAATAATTTTAACTGCCAATTCATTATCACTTGTCTGAGTCCATGTTTCACAGTAGTTTCTCCGCACTGAGATACTTTTCTTAATTGTCTCAAACAACATCATTTAATTTTGTTTTCATTTTTTTTAAAGCTGGTGACAAAATAAAAATTCCAAAGGGGTAAAGCAATAGAGAGGAAAAGCTACCAAAATTTGATTTGGTTTTCCTACATTTTCTCTCTCTCTTTCCAAGCAGTTAATCCCCTCTCAAACAGTACAATAGAACAGCTAGACATAAAGAAAGGCAGATAAAATTGGCTAGCCAGTACATTGTTCTTGCTAATCTGGACCATTTACATAAGGGTTAGAAGGCTAGTTTTATCATTTAAACAGACTTAAAAGCCTCTTTGCAAATGAGATTTAGTTCTTACAAAAGAATGAATTCTAGCTATTTGGTCAATTTCTGCTGGACTAGCACAGTGAGCTAACTGGGCAGTAACCACAAGCTATTCCTTAGGCCATGGACAGAATATGCAAAGATTACTCCCAGCTGCCAAAACTGAAAAGCATCAAGCTGATTAAATTCTTTCCAGTAGGTGAACAGGATAAGGCACAGGTTAAAAGGCCAAAGAATATTCAATCTTAACTTGTACCTGTACTCATTTTCTTTTCTTTTCTTTTCTTTTTTTTTTTTTTATTAAATGCAGGTACTTTAAAAGTGGCTTTGAACATTCAGAGCTTCTTGAAACTTCCTTTGAAAGGGAACAGAAGGGCAGACAGAAAAAGAAATTCAGAGACAGAAAGACCCAAAGTCTCAAGCTGTGCGGGGAAGACAAGTTAAACTCTTTGATTCATTGTTGGTCTGAGGGCATTGGGCACAAGGATCTACTGCAAAAGGAACTCCCTAGACAATGTTAGCACACAAGATAATTAGAAGGATAATGTTTCCTTAAGACAGAGGAGTATACTCTTTGTACCAAAGTTTTAGATTTTTCAAAATCAAAGTCATGTTTATGTATACTATAACTATTAGACATTTTACCTGGCACACCTTGAACAGATATTCAGTGTGACCTTGGCCTGAGGCTCAGCAGGTTGAGTAGGACGGTTTTGGTTCAATTTGCTCCCAGAAGGTACCAGGGTTGTTACTCCCTCCATTCTTAAATCATCGAGATCCTCTGCAACAACACAATTACAGAGAACAAATATTAAGTCTAGTAGAATTTTAAAGAAACTTGCCAGTAGTTTTGTAGGCAAAACATTATTTTATATATCCCTCTAAAAAAATATCTAACCACATGTACTACTTATTTTTTCAGTATTTCTAATAGCTGGAGACAAATTATGAGATTAATAACCTCCAGAGTAGCTAACCCATTATCCTTCTCCAACAAGCAGCTCAAACATTTACACATGGCTCAGCAATTGCCAGCTTCCTTGTTTTGTTTTTGCCTTTGTATGGAACTCAGAGCTTACCAGAGAAAGCTGAATATAGTCCAAAATTATTTATATAAATCTTCCACTTCTAGTTATCCAGTTTCTCCATCCAAAGGCTTCCAATCAGAAAATAACTGAAACTCACTTTCTCACTTTCACTTACTGTTCTATGAAGGGGACATAGTCATAATCCCCAGAGAACCCCTTTACCTTTCCCTATTACTCAATCAAGACTGAAAATAATCAACTTTCCTTATAATTCATCTAATTTATATATATATATATATATATATATATATAATCCACTTCTTTTGTTCCAAGAAGATAAATGTTTTAAAAAGGATTTCATTTACTTATATTCAGCATTTATTTACTTCTTAGCAAAAAACAAACAAACAAAAAAATGAAATGTTAAAGAAAAATTATGATTTTGGTAAAATGCACTTATTATTCATGACATAATCTACACCAGGAAGTAAATCATCCTCTTTTGATTGACTAAAAAGCTATAATATATCCTAGACCCCCTGAAAAAAATTCAGAGGGATTTCTAGATTTAAATAGATATTTCACCAATGTCAAATTTTCCTGAGGGTAATGGCTCTAAGTCACATAAATAGTCCTTATGTAATCTAAAGTTCTTCCTGTCAGCAACTCCAATAAGACCCCCCTTTGCCTATCTGTTCAAAAGTAATCTAAAAATCCTTAGAATTTGAACTCAAGCTCATCATAATCTCATCATCAGGACCTAGTTGCGATGAGTTAGTTTAACCACATAGCTGCTATGTCAAAATTTGGTGTTTCTTCTCATCTAGTATCAAATTCCTCTCTACTAGTTTCTAAGAACACACGCACTGTTTAAACTACAATTAGCCACTCACATCAATGAGATACCATTAGTCATCATGAGAAAAATAATATGGAACCCAAAGAAAATGTTCTGGAAGATAATTTTGCTCTATAGGTAGCCTTCATTAAGGTTGTGTGCCTATCTAAACTATTCAAGAATAGTTTCCTAAAGTAATGTAAAAACACAGCTATAAAATATCAGCATTTATCTCTAGATTCTGAAAAAAAAAACGTGGTGCTAGCTTCCTTTACACTATCTTTGTCAGTCTGGGTGGCAATAGATGGTTTCAAACTGATACAAGTTAAAAATTCATTATGTTAGATATCATGATACAAATAAATAGGTTACTATGTTAGCTCAGCATGGCTAAGGAAAAACTTTAAAGACAGGTGAGGTCATTTTGGCTTCATATATTATCTGTCAATAAGATAATTATGGGAAAACTATAAAGGTGAAGTTATATCTAGGAATTAAGATTCAGGGTCTTTTGAGAGGCTTCCAATGGATTTGATGCTGCTTCTACTCTCCAAGTGATCTGAATTTGTTTTAGAATTTATATTTAGTTGTCTATTTTTATGAGGGGATGAAATATCATGCCAAAAACCTATAGTCTTTACAGTCCCTAAATATTTGCCTGATTCTCTGTGTTTTGAACTTTGAGATGGAAACTTTGTATCAAATAGCCATAGCACACCCTTTATAAGAAATGCAATGGAATATTATTCCACTCAGAAACTATGCTCAACTTTGTATGATTTATAAATTGCACATGAACAAGCATAAATAAAAGCAAATGGAACAGTTGCAATAATATACTTTAATAAAGATTATGAGCTGCTTATTTCTGAAATTTCTCCATTTAATCATGTGAGGCTTTCAGTAGCTGAAATTACATAAAATGAAGTTGAAATCATGGATAAAAAGGGAGCCTGTTGTACTTGAATTCTCCTCTCCTATCTTTCTCTTTTTTTAAATTATACTTTTATTATCTTTAAGATTTGTACAAAGGGGTTAAAATTCAATGTATCAGTTTAATTTATGAATATAATTCATCTTGATCTATTTAACCTCTTTCCTCAAAAATTCCTAACTTTTCTTTTTTTGTACCATTCTTATTAAAATTGTTACATCAGAGAACATAATCATATTCTAACACCAATCTTAGATTATCACAATAGTACCTTTACTGATATACCATTCCTCACCAGACTCCCTAATAAGAAATTTTGGAAATTTTGAGTCTCATGATATGATAGAGAAATACAATGAAAGTATTTCCACACCTGTCCCTACATAGGAAAATGGCTTTAAACTAATCAACTTGTGGGTTTGTGTGGTTAACTCACAGAAAAATAGAATTATTATAGTCACTGGATTGCAGGAAATTCCAAAGTTGTACTCCATAACTTTTGAGGATGATGAATCACCTAGAAGAGGCCAATGAAAAAACCTTGGCTCCAACCTCATCTCATGAAAAAATTCCTTTGTTCCCAACTTCCAATGTGTTCCTACCAAATAGTACGTTTGTAGCCAGTCAGAATGTCTAGTTCTACTTGCCTTACACTAAGTTCTCATGTATACGTAAAGTTTTTATGTATACATAAAGACACTAATTATGTAGACCATGAAGGCTTGCAATTTCCTCTTAGATACAAACTCCAAAACAAAGCTCCATTGATTATTAAGACACTTGGGGGGAGTTACTGGTTCATTATTTATGCAACAACTAAAGCTGTTTCTCATGATGAAAACAATATACAAAAAGACTTAAAATATTTTGTTATCAACTCTGGCACTAATTATAAAATGATACCATCTCTGCCCTACATGGAAAACACATCTAATTTGACTACTTAAGTTACCAATGGATAATCACATTGTTCTAGATTTCTTTTTTACCAGTTACAGTAATACCCATGGGTCATGCTAATGTTTCCTTCTGTATTTGTATCAATGAAAAGGGGAAGGAGAAAAATACCTATATAAATTTTTCTTTTTCCTATGTAACTTCTTAAAGAAAAGCTACTTGGCTTTCTAAGTTTGGTTTTTATGACTGCTTAGATTTGTTCTTTTAGCCTGCATTAGACAATTAAAGTTCTCAGTTTTGAAGCATCCTAAATGAACTTTTAATTGTGTTTGCTTTTCTTAGCATAGTGGTCATGGTGGTGTACTGAAGCCGATCCAGAGCTTTAAACATTTCCATGTGGTTAGTCTCTTCTTAAATAATTGCAGTGATGATGCAACAAGATGATTGAAAAGGTTTTGTAATACAATTGAGTGCAAAGACAAATGAACAATCATCAAGCAGTAAAGTGTTAGATCTCTGGCTTCTAGCCAAGGGAGAGAGAAAACAATCAAATTATAAAAATTGAAACAATATATACTATACATATGGACAAAGTGTAGAACATAGAAGTGAGGAGAACTGAAAGACAATGAGTAAAACACAGACAATAAATGAGTACAACTGAGAAATGTCCAGTTGTTATTTCTTTCTTTACCAATATTGTCCTTTAAATGATAGTTCATGAGCTCCTAACAGTGACTGAGTACTTACAAAGCTCTAAGGATGATACAAACACCAAGGATCCATTTTAATCCTGGGTTGATACTAATAATCTATTTTAGCTTACAAAGAACCACAGTACAATATTAATATAGTTCACTAGTTCCATTTCTTTGGCAACTTTATTAAAAGAGACAGGTGTCTAGGAATTAATAACCAAGAGGGAGAAAAAATGTAAATGCCTAAACCTAGGGCAAATTTGCAGAAAGTAAAAAGAGGTGAAAAATTAATTAAAAGAATTTCAGTAATATTCCATTCAAGGATTTCTCCATACTGAATAAGTCAAGGGAGAAAATATTAGACATATATTATAATATATATTTTTATTGTGAAGGTACTGTACAGAGGGATTACAGTTACATGAGCAAGGTAATGCGTATTGTTACAACCTCCTTTTTTTTCCCCCTATCATAACTTTCTTCCCCACTTCCCCAATTCCTCCCTTCACAGAAATATCAGTGATAGTGAAGGAGTTAAAAATATGCCGTCCTGGCATATTGACTCTTTCAAAGTTAAAGACACTTGAAAACAGCAAGTGCAAGATCACTTAAATCATCCTATTTCTTAAAAGCAAGAGATGAAGCACCAGTGTGAAAGATTCTTCCACATACTAGGAAAAAAAATTCTGTCAGTACCTTAAGAATAGGTATGTGAGACTAAGAACTCCATCAGGCTTTGCTACAGTAACTATGTTATTTTAAGCCTCCCTGTACAGTTTTCTTTATTCTTCAGGACTTACCATTCTTTGTCTAGTTCTGTATATAAGTGATTTTGGGGGGGGTCTTCATTTCTTTATGAAGGTTTTTATGTTAATTAAAACATTAAAGAAATGTGCATACTTTTCTCCTATTCTGTACTGTGCCAATTGAACTCCTAGGGCATCATTAACAAACAAATAAATAAATGAAAAAACAAAACAACACTAAAAGGCTAGAGCATGGTTTCAATTCTCTACAATAACAGAGTCTTTCTTCTTCTCTTTATTTTACTCTTCCTCTTATCTTTCATTCTGTTCTTCTTCTTTAGATGTTCAGTATCTTCCTTCTTCCCCTTTAAAAATTTTTTTTAGTTTATTTTATCCAAGTAAAAGTATTTCCCATATAGATAGTGCAGTGCTGTAGATGTAACAGGTATACCATCTTTGATCACAGTGGATATATTTTGATGACTAGAAGTTTATTAGAAGTAATCAGGAATAGTTTTCAACAGGGCCTTGTGATTATTGTACTTTATTTTCTTCCAGTACTAGCACCTAAACTCTGGGGCCTCAAGCTCTCAGTTGGCTTTTTTTGCTCAAAGCTAGAGTTCTCCTACTTGAGTCACAC